CTTAGCCTGAGTCTTTCTCTACAGTGAGCCCAATATGAAATGGCTCCTATCTTAATATTTATTCTTCTCACCTGATGTATCAAGAAGTGTGCCTGTAGAGAGTGAGAAGGCCAGCTGTGAAAACCTTAGAGGGTACTTTGAATTAAATTTAGTGAGGTCTTCCAGAAATGCTAGACCCCATTGGTAAAGGATCCTCTTGCCCTGCCTTGTGATGGTGGTGGCAGATCTAGGAGGAAGCAGAGGTGATGGGCCAGTGGAAGGGCCTGGATTGACACTGGGACAGGGTATTTACTGAACCACTTTGTAGCTGTACATACGACACAGCCAAGTTACTCATTCTTGTGGGGCCTCTTTTTCCTCACATTTAAAATATCAGTGACCCAAAAAAGTAAAAATAAAAATGTCAGTGACAATAAAATGTAACCATGAGATCAATGAGAAAGGAGATGATTTGACTCGTATAACATTTGAACACCTGTGTGCGGGACACCGGGCTAAGTGCTGGGGACGTAGATTTGCGCATGATGAAATGCCCACCGTCAGTTAGTGCAGAGTCTGGTAGGAAAGTCACACATGTAAACACATATATCCAGTGTTGTAGAATTCTATTCTGCAGTGGTTTGCAAGATGGGAGATTATATCAGACACACATAGGGAGCTTTTCTAATTACACACACAGCCACCCCCAGGAGAAAGGCGCTACACGGTCAGTAATTCTCACTTCTTTAAAACTGCTATGACACCTATTTAGCCACGGAAGGCATGTAATTTAAGTCAACTCCCTGGCGTTTTCCATATAACCCTTTCCCGCCCCTGATCCCTAGAACCTCTTCTGTATACCGTATCCTCGGGCAAAACAAGTCACCACCTAACCTTCAACTTCCACTTGCTTGCTAATGACTGAAATCTGTATTTGCGACTCAGATTGCTCTGCTGAGCTCCCAAACAATGGACTAGTGATGGATATCTCTCTTGTGGATGACCCATGGGTTCCTTGTTTGCAATAAAAGTGATGCTTAACTCTGGGCCCTTCTCCTTTCTTCCAGTGGACCTATTCTCCCATGTCCCCCACTGTCCTGAAGGACATACAGTCTGTCCAAACTAACTAACCTTGGAGTCAACCTAGACTCCTTCCGTCCTTGCATCATTTTTAGTCAGCCACCAAATCCTATAAATGCTGTCTGAAACACATGATATAGATCCCCAGCTCTCTATTCCCACTGCCCTGATCCTAGTTAAAATCTGCAATAATCTGTCTTCATTTTTTTTTTCTGACCTTCTTGTCTACTTTATGACCTTCTTGTCTACTTTAGAATGTTATTCTGTCTAAACTATAATGTGTCTTTTCTGCCAGTAGATCTGGTGATGTCATCCCCAGCTGAAATTCATCCGATGATTTATCCTCCTTCCTCTTTAGCCCAACACCCACAACTGTGTCTTATTCTTTTTGCTGCTTGATCAGTTCTGGGGCAAGTTGAGGGACTGGTGTGTCCTGGGGAAAGAAGACTTAGAAGAAAAGAATTACAGAAGAATCATTTATTGTTCAATTTGGAAGACACCAGAAGAGTCAAAAACGTATAGGTTATTCGGTGATCACTTACTGAATACCTGGGATACGTTAGGGCACCAAGCTGGTTCTCAACTGCAGTGGTTAAAATGCATGGTTCCTTAGCACTGGAGCTGGGAAAATTATGACATAGTAAGTTTTGCACCTTTGAATCTGTAACAAGTACTACCAGAGCATGGAGCTGGCCTTGTGACTTGAAGGTGGGGTAGGAAGCTGGTGGTGGGCCTGGGGAGATAAGGGAACCAGAAGTTACAGCAATAGGAAGGATGGTGTTGGAGAAATAGAAAGCAGTTCATTGCCACAGGAGGGTAGGTGCTCCGGGGAGGATGATTAGGGGGGCACGAGAGCAAAGGGTTATTGTGAAGCCTTTGTTCATGTATTCACTTTTTTTGTTGTTGTTGTTCATGTATTCAACCACAAATATTTATAGAACATCCTTTCCAGAGTTTCCTATTAGCCCCGTCAGCCCCAGAGAGCTATGCCTGTGTCCGGACTTAAGTCAAGAACCTGAGGGTCACCTGCGAGGAGATACGAATTCTAAGTGAAATCACCATCAGTCTGTCACTTCCCTCTCCCCAACCTTGCTCTCAGCCCCCATAAAATGCCTTTGAACCCTTAAATATTTCCATCTACTGTGCCAGCCACAGATTAGAGATGACATCCTGTAAATGAATTAGAATGAAAGAAAATAAACCCAACTGAAGAGAAAGGGCTTCAACAGTTGCACGGAAACGTCTTTGCTACAATAAATATTTAGCATAGGAAGGCCACACCCTGCCACATTCAGTGTGTAGTTTTCATGTTCTAAACTCCCAGTGTTCAATCATTGCTCTTGTACCGGCAGTCTTTTCTTTGTGGCATGGGAGTTTCTCTCTATTAAATAAGCCTCTCTGCTGGAAGAATGCTTATGGCAATGACTATAATTACAGCCCAGGGCTGAGCTGGAAAATGCAGTGATGTGACAGCTTTTTATGATAGGAAGGGTAGAGAAAGAATGAAAGCTTATAATTTTCTTTGAGGTATCTTGAAGTCTGACAGTAGCCCTGCCCTTATGATGTAAATGTGCAGTGACCTGGAGTAAGACCAGGACAGAGTAAGCCAGGCAGACAAGCCAAGTCCCTGCTACATGGTCTACCAGTCAGCAAGCCAGAAAGACACGCACAGAGCGGAACGCTCTACGACTTCTTTCAAGGGAATAGTTTAGAATGGTCCCCTCCTCCCCCAGTTTGGAATAATGTCAAAATGTTTCATTTGTCATATGAAATGTTTTTTATACATGATTTGAGAAAATACATAATGATTTAAGCAACTACACATTTGTTATTATGTTGCGATAAATGCATTTCATCAATCACACCCACATTTATAGATACCTGAAAAACAGAACATACGTTTTTGAAAAAAAGGATTTATTCAGTCTGCCAAGCAAGTTTGGCCCCTTATGTATTTGATGACATTTGCATCAGCCCAGAAGTTTGTGATTTCCTTCTCCCTCTCACTGCCCCTACTTCAAGGTCACAGACTTGGAATAGTGTGTTCCTTTCATGCATTCATTTGTTCATTTGTTTAATTGAATCTTTTCATATAAAAAAGAAAAAAGCATAGTGGCCTACTGTATTTTGGCCATCACACTAGGGATCGTTGATATAACGTCAAATCCTACCTGATACCTGGCCTTGAGGAATTTAAATCCATTTAGGGAGACAGATGTATAAATTTTAACAGTACAGTGGGCATAGAAGAGGATATGGTCAGTTTTACTCAGGGGAGTTATTAGAAAAACCCTCATGCAAGAGGTATATCCATCAGCTATTGCCACAATAATGCCATGCAACAAATTAAAGACATGATGACTTAATAATTCTGAGCCATTTTTTAAAAGATTTTATTTATTTATTTGACAACACAAGCAGGGGCAGCAGCAGGCAGAGGGAGAGGGAGAAGTAAGCTTACTGAGGAGGGAGCCCGATGCAGGGCTCGATCCCAGAACCCTGGAACCACGACCTGAGCCGAAGGCAGATGCCTAACAACTGAGCCACCGAGGCACTCCACTTCTGAGCCTGTGGTCTGCAAGCTGATGGCCTATTCCCTGGACTGTGCTTGACTCCAGGCTTTGGGCTCCATTCTCAAACTTGCATGTCGCATTCAGATCTGCTCTCCATGATCCTCATCTTCCTTGGACCAGATGTTCTCATAGTGCTTCACTAACAGGCAAGAGGGCCTGACTGTGCAACCATTGTTCCAGTCCCTGCTCTTGCTGCAGTCGCTAAAATTCCATTGGTCAAAGCAAGTAATCTGGCCAAGCCCAAAGTCAAGGAGTAGGGAAGTATACTCGACCTTTCCATAATATGGATATGGGGCTACTACAGGGAATAAAGAACTGGGACCAAAGGAAGAGAAACCTTTGATTTACATTCTGAGAGATGATTACAAGTTTATCAAGTGGACCCAAACATCTGAAATATGAATCAGGAGAAATAGAGGAAACTTAGTGCACAGTATTTGGCGTGAAAGAAATGTTCTGACAGATAGGAGTTGGGGCTTTTCTGTGGGAGCCCTGCTCAGTGTCTGTCATGGAATATCCTGGGGCCATTATTGAGTGGAGATGAGCACAAAGTAGGCATGCCAGAGCTAGAATGATCTGGAGGAGATTTAATGAAAGACCTCATCCTGCTGATTCTGGACCCAGATTGACCATGAAAGGGCAGCGTCTCTGGTTTTAACCCAATGTTTCTGGTTTGATGACCATGAAATCTAGAAGAAAAGCAGGATTCACATTCTCACTGCCTTCTGTACTAACCCATTCTTCATGCTGTTGCTTTCAGAGTACTGAGGTTGTGGTTTGTTCGTACAGGTTTCCTCTTGCCACTGTAAACAAATTATCACAAATATATAATGGCTTAAAAACAACACAAATGTGTTATTATTTATTAGTTCTGAAACAGGTCTTATGGACTAACATCGGGCTGTTGGCATGGCTGCAATCCTTCTGGAGACTCTAGGAGAGAATCTGTTTCCTTGCCTTTTCCCCATTCTAGAAGCCAACAGCATTTCTTTGGTTTGTGGTTCCTTCTTCCATCTTCAAAGCCAGTAGTACAGCATCTTCAAAACTTTCTCTGACTCTGAACTTCTGCTTCCCTCTTCCACCTTTAAAAGACCCCTGTGATTATGTTGGGCCCACCTAGTTAATCCAGGATGATCTCCTTATTCTAGGACTAGCTGGTTAGCAACCTTCATTCCACCTACAAACTTAATTCCTTCTTGCCATGCAACATAGGCACGTGGATGGGTTTGAAAGGCCATTATTCTGCCTCCCACATGGTTCAGGGAGAGGGGGTGATGAACAATGCCTCACACTGGTATTATGCTTTATGACATACCAAGACTTGATTTTTTTTTTTTTTTTTTTATGCTCTCACTTTTGAATCTGCAGAATAGAGAGCCGAGAACCATTTTGTGTATGTGCGGCCGAAGCGAGCACAGCGGAGAACCATTTTGTAAGTGAATAAATTGTAACTCAGATACATTAAGTTGCAACACAGGATAGCATAATAGTTACTTGCAGCTTGTTCAATTACCTCAGAATCCTCTGAATGTATCTAGGTTGGCCCCTGTCTCCCTCTGTTGCAATTATCTGTTACATGTCTGTCTTACCACCTCAAGGCAGACATGGAGTCATTTCACGTTCTGTGCCTTAGCAGTTAAGGATGGTGAAAAAAAAGAGCCTTTATTAGACACTTAAACTGTGTCCATCATGTGCCAGGACTCTATGTGATTTGTACTTTATTCTTCCCCATCCTTGGAGAGGAGTAAACATGGGCTCAAGGCCACACAGCTCTCAGCACAGAACAGGGCTGGAATTCACACTGAGATCTGCCTGACTCCAAAGCCAGCATTCTTTCCTTGTTTCTTATGGGCCAGAGGTCCCTCAACTGAGTTTTAAAGAAGGGACAGTATGGACTACCTGGATTTAGATGTCTGAAATCAAGGAGCAGTTACAATGCTGCGTTTTTGTTTCTAAATGACTTTGACTTTTCTAATGGAGAAGAGGTCCAACCCTTTTCTTGGTTTCAACCAAGCTAGTTTCTTTTATAATGAGGAGGTTGGAGTAGGTGACTTCTAAGTTTTCCTCTGTGATTTGAGACTTCTTGATATTCACACAGGTTAGTATAGGAAGCGATGGGACTGGGACAGATTTTGTGTCCAGAGCAATGCACCTTTTTTTCATTATCCCTACTGAGTCTGTGGACTATTCTAGTTTTAAGAGGGAACTTTGGAATGAAAAGTATATAATTAATATATTTGTCCGAATCCATAGAATATACAACACCAAGAGTGAACTGTGGACTTTGGCTCAGTATAATGTGTTAACGTAGGTTCACCAACTTTAACAAATGTGGGAGATGCCGATGATGGGGGAGGTGTGCCATGAGGGGTCAGGGGTATCAGGGACAATCTCTGTACCGTCCCCTCAATTCTGTTGTGAACCTAAAACTGATTAAGTTTTAGTATGACAAAGTCTGTTTCTCTAAAACTACATATATTCTGGCCAAATAAACTATGACACTTTAAAACTCCATTCTTCAAAGATGTAGTGAATTTCTTTGAACTGTTTTCATTGCCTTTTTAAATCGAAACTTATGAAATAATTCAAACATTTTTTAAAGGGAAATAACATGACACCATGTACCCAGTACCCAAATTTAACAAATATGTACATTATATAATACCTGTTTCAATTTTTGATAGAAATACAATGTTACAGATAAAATCAAGTGCCCTAATCTCATACTCCTCACACTTCGCTACCCTGAAGCCAGTGTGTAATCATCCATTCCTTAACTTTGATAAATACATTCATATCCATAACACTTTTATATGATGTTGTTTTGAGTATTTTTGAAACTCATAAATGACATCATGCAAGAAAGATTCTGTTAACAATTTTTTTCCCTCAGTGTCTTAGTTTTACAATCATCCATGTTAATATGTGTAGATCTAGTCACACTATGGAGTATTATGCCTCCATCAGAAAGGATGAACACCCAACTTTTGTAGCAACATGGAAAGGACTGGAAGAGATTATGCTGAGTGAAATAAGTCAAGCAGAGAGAGTCAATTATCACATGGTTTCACTGATTTGCGGAGCCTAACAAATAGCATGGAGGCCAAGGGGAGATGGAGAGGAGAAGGGAGTTGAGGGAAATTGGAAGGGGAGGTGAACCATGAGAGACTATGGACTCTGAAAGACAATCTGAGGGTTTTGAGGGTGGGGGGTGGGAGGTTGGGGGAGCCAGGTAGTGGGTATTAAGGAGGGCACGGATTGCATGGAGCACTGGGTGTGTTGCAAAAACAATGAATACTGTTACGCTGAAAAGAAATAAAAAAACAAACAAAAAAACAGTGCTGCACTGAACATTCTCCTCTAAGTGCATCTCCTTGTTCCTGTGGGCTAGAGTTAACTAACAGGGCTCCTCAAAGCATGGACCAAAGATTGTTACCAGTTAATGACTAGAAAGAGCAGAAATTGAGAATAAGCATTTAAACTTTAAAGTATGGGGCATGTGGGTGGCTCAGTGGGTTAAGCCTCTGCCTTCAGCTCAGGTCATGATCTCAGGGTCCTGGGCTTGAGCCCCGCATGGGGCTCTCTGCTCAGCGGGGAGCCTGCTTCCCCCTCTTCCTCTGCCTGCCTCTCTGCCTACTTGTGATCTCTCTCTCTGTCAAATAATTAAATAAAATCTTTTAAAAAAAAAAAAAAGGAAGTAAATGACCTGAGTACTTTAACGTCTATTGAACTAATAATTTTTTTTTAAGATTTTATCTGTTTATTTGACAGACAGAGATCACAAGTAGGCAGAGAGGCAGGCAGAGAGAGAGAAGGAAGCAGGCTCCTGCTGAGCAGAGAGCCCGATGCGGGGCTCGATCCCAGGACCCGGGGATCATGACCGGAGCCGAAGGCAGAGGCTTTAACCCACTGAGCCACCCAGGTGCCCCTATTGAACTAATAATTTTTTAAAAATTATTCAGGGGCACCTGGGTGGCTCAGTGGTTAAAGCCTTGCCTTCGGCTCAGGTCATGATCTCAGGGTCCTGGGATCGAGCCCCGCATCGGGCTCTCTGCTCTGCAGGAGCCTGCTTCCTTCTCTCTCTCTGCCTGCCTCTCTGCCTACTTGTGATCTCTGTCTGTCAAATAAACAGATAAAATCTTAACAAAATAAAATAAAAAATTATTCAGGCTTGAATTTTGTCTGTTTTTAAGGTTCACTTGTTTTATGTTTTTACTGTATTCTACAAAAATATTGATCCTCAGTAGGTTGGAGTTTAACACTTGGTTTTCCAGAGAGTTTGAGAATCTTGATACAGTTTCTACCTAGAAGTAAAATGTCTGAGTTGACCAAAAGGTGCATCTTTAGTTCTATAAGGTGTTAACAAATTGCACTCCAGAATGGTCAAACCAATTTCCAATTTCATCTGGTGTAGATGAGAGTTTCCCTTTTTTCCCAGTTGCGTTGTCAGACTTTAAAATCTTTGCCAAGATGATATCCTTGGGAAAATATTTCATCTTAATTATAACATTTATCTGATTAATAGTGAGGTTGCACATCCATATGTTTGTTCAGTCTCCATTTGTGTGACTCTAATAAGGTAGATTTTCTCAGTTCGCCATTGTGGGAAAAATATGCCTATAACAAGCTAGCTGTGGGAGGTAAAGTATTATAACAGGTATAACTGGTTTTGACCAGGAAAAGCCTAGAATAGCTCGTTTTGACTTGATGAAGGACAGGAAAATCTCATTGTAGCAAATTAATGCATACCAGGTCTTTCCTGGTATCTGGGGTTTGGGACAATGATTCGGTCATTGCCACTAAAGCCTTTTCTTCCACAGAGAATCCTGTACTTGTCATCCAGTTCTGATAGCCGGTGAGTTTCGGGTCCTAATGAGGCTGATGACACCAAGTGAGGCTGAATTCCCCTGTGAACTTCTTTATTTTCTGGAGCTGCGATCTGACCTCTCACTCACTCTACCTTTGACATGGGTGAAAGAATCAGGGAAAAGACGTGGAGGTAGGCATGCTGAACCAGGCATTCCCTTCCAATCACCCTGTAGTCAGCCAGGCTTGTTTTTTTTCTTTTGGTCTGCTCGTTCTTTTTATAACCTTTAGCGAAAGAGATATATTAAAACCTCCCATAATGATTATGAATTTATCTATTTCTCCTTTTTAGTTCTGAGAATGTTATTTCATGTTTTTTGAGGTTATGTGATTTTTAAGTACACACACACACACACACATTGTGATAATAGTCCAAAGAACCACTCCAACAGGCAAGCCTGAGTTATCCAGTAGAGATGAAAAGACCCCTGGCCTTGAGTTCTCACATAGCTCGTTATAGCTCTGCTACTCTTGGATGTTAGTGGCCTCCTTGTGTTTTGGTACATGCTTATTAACAAACTCCTGCCTTGGGGCCTTTGAATTTTCCATTCCCTGCCCCCGGAGCACCCTTCTGGGTGTCCTTAAAGGCTTACTTGGTGAGAGATGCATGGTTCACAGCAGTTACTGTAAGAGGAGGGAAGGAATGCTATGAGTTCAAGTGTAAGGAGAGCTTCATGGACAGTCATTAGGATTCGCCTGAAGAAAATCTGAAGAGGGATGGAGAAAAAACATATTTTAGTAGTAAACCAACACATGGAGCTATGAAGGTGAGTGCTTCTCTAGAAACATCGTAATGACTCCAGGGTTCAGGTAGGAAAACGGTAGCTAATAGGTAAAAAGACAGAAAAATAAGTTGAATCACAAAATAAAAGTCCATGAGGACTAGGCAAAGGATTTTGGACTTTGCATTATAAGTCCTCCTCCCAGACTCTTGATTTCCTTCCTTACTAGAGTATCAGATTCCTGAGGACATACCCAGAAAGATGCCCTGTACTTAACAGGCAAGCAGTGCTCCATGTGCTGCTGGTGATGAAGCACTTAGGCCATGTGGTGAGGTTGTCTGGGTTCAAATTTTGTTTTATCCCTTCCTTACTGCATGGCCTTGGACAAGGTGCCTAAATGCTCTACACCTCTACCTCCTGGTCTGTACAAAGGGGCTGAAGTACCAGGCACAATGGGTAGTTGCAAGGGTTAGCCATGACATATAAAGCACTTGCTATACCCTTATCATATAGTAAACATTAGCTGTTATTAATACAGAAAATTCCTAATTTCTACCTTATTTTGAATTTCTATGTAATTTTGAATCTCTAATGATTCAAAATTTTGCCCTAAGGGAGAAATTGGCAAGTAGGGTTGGAGGAAGAGAACTCATACCAGCCCACCCAACCTAGTAATTATACCCTATCCCACAGCTCTTTTTAGTTTCCTTGTGACAAGTATTGTCTCTGTTTCCAAATTTTGTTCAGTCAAGTGACAACATAGCAATGACTGCTGGGATTTTGATGTTTCCATGACACCTAAAACTTAAAAAATAAGGAAAGGGTGATTGGGAGGCCTTGTGCTCTGATCATCACGCTTCCAAGAGTGACTTCTCCTTGTTTCTCCCCTCCCGAAGCCTAGCTATTCAAGGGTTGATTAGAAACCAGCTGTGTGCAATGTCGTAACAGTTGATTTTCCTGACTGTTGTGTTTTATAGGTGACCAGCGCAGAACAGAGTACCTTGCCATCAAGAACAAGAAGAGACTTACCTAGAACAGGTGAAACAAAACCTAAAATGCAGAACAGATGCAACAGAAAAGCTTTTCCATTCCTGGTTTGTGTTCTAACTTGTCGTTGAAGTGTGTGCCGAAAGAGCTTGGTGGGACAGGTGGACAGTACCAGCACCGAGACAACACTGTTACCAAGAAAAGTCACTTGACAAATCCGTGTCTTGCAAAGAGTCGTGCCAGTCGAGGCTCCGATGCTAAGATTAAATTACGGCCGTGCCCCAGGAAAACAGACTTCTACCAGTAAGATCCTCCCACCGAGTGTCCTTCATGTCCGAGCTTAATGTTCTCAACACTCCTCTCGAGGTCTATTTTCAGTTGCTGTATGAAGGATTAGTGAAAGTAAGCCTTCTAGTGTGATTAATGTTTCAGAAATATGTCCCATTGTAGAATTCATTGTAGAAGACCCCTGACTTCCTAGAGAAAAGTCTTCAGAAAAATAAGATAAAGGAAATAAAATCATAGATGTTTGAGTATAAGCAGTGGAATTTTTTTCTTTTGATATTCAATAATGAATTTTGGCCAATGAATATTTATTTCAAAAGAAAACACATGCACAGCAGCCTTTCTACTATTGGTAGGAAACTACACAGCTATCTAAGGGTCGAATAGTGTGGGGCGTCTAGCTGGAGTGGTAGACTGAGCACCGACTCTTGGTTTCAGCTCAGGTCATGAACTCAGGGCTGTGGGATCCAGCCCCAGGATGAGTCCCACGGGTCAGGCTCTGCGCTCCGCGCGGAGTCTGCTTGAGGATTCTGTCTCCCTCTCCACCCTACCACCCCGCTCTCAAGCATGCTGTCTCTCTCTCTCAAATAAATAAATAAATCTTTAAAAAAATAAATATTGAATTAATGCAAATTAAGGTGTAAATGTTGATATTGTTCACTTAGTGCAGAGGTGGACTGCACATTTTACCTTTACTCTCATCTCAGTTATATTTTCTGTTGAGCCATGATGACAAATCAGTCCTCTTTTGGAGGACCCAGTGTCCAAATCGTTGTAAAAGAAGGGGGATAATACTGCTGACCTCACATCATTCTTATGCAAATAGAGCAAAATTAAGTAAACAGTAGTTTTAAAACTATTAAGAGCACAGAGTTATTAATGCATACTAGTATAAGGAAAGGAACACAATGAATTCCAGTCTCCTAATATGATCACAAAAATACCTGCATGCATATATGGCTATGTATTTGTGCTTGTTAACTTGAAGCACAGCTTTATAGATCTATACCTAACAAAGGTCTCTGGGAATTTTACAATTAAAGCTAGAGATTTTTCTATCAACATATCAAGCACCTTCTTTGTTTTCTAAAACCATGGTAGCAAATTTTATATTTACTATACCAGAGCATAATTGTGATTATTCTCTTGAACACAGACAGAACTGTATAAAAACAACAGGTGCCAAGAACTCAAAGATAGTCATTAATGGCAGAGGCTCTGAGGATTTGGAGCCAGAGCTATAAAATACCGCAGAAGCAGGTGTTCTAGGTATTCCTACGGCTCATATGAGCACTTAGAAATATTTGATGTGGTGGATGGCAGCTTGCTTAACGACCAGGCTGAACAGGACAGCTGGCAAGAGGATTAGTGGCATGTGGGATTGGAGGACAGAAAAAGGTACCGTTAGAGCCCCAGCTGCGGCCAAATCTGGTCGAGTCGGTTTCTGTGTTCCCACGACCGTCTGTCTGCTCTGGTGTCTCATTCGGATTCCATGTGTTCTCCACCAGTGGACTGAACACTGTCTTTGTACTGGGGAGCTCTTCCCCAGCTCCTCTCATGATTGGCTCCTTCTCATTGTTTAGGGCTCAGCTTGTGCTACTTCCTTAAGAAAACTAACACCTCCCCATCCCTCTAGTTCTCTCTAGCCTTTATCACCATCTGCAACTCTGTTATTCAATCATTTGTTTACTGTTCACAGTGGTGCATTGCTGCCCAACAGAAGGTGAGCTTTGTAAGAAGAAGAACTACATCCCCAGCAGGTTCTGCGTCATAGAAAACATCCATCAGACAACTGATGAATGGAGGCCCCAGGTGGCTCAGTCCATTAAGTGTCAGATTCTTGATCTCCACTCAGGTCTTGATCTTGGGGTCTTGAGTTCAAGCCCCACATTGGGCTCCACCCTGGGTGTGGAGCCTGCTTGAAAAACAAAACAAACATAAACCCTGATGAATGAATGGATGCATTGATCTCCAAGGCCCTCTACCCCTTGACCATCTTCTCCTTGATTATCTCTTCCCTTAAAAAACATTAGTTTTGTTCTCCATTTACTGCAGTCCCCCCTTCCCAATTTTTGAGGTAACAGGATGTTAACCATGGCTGATTCTCGTTAGCATGTTAGTCAGCAAATATGACCACACTTTCACCTAACAAAATGATGTCACCTGGTTAAAATTCCTTTGTGATCTAGTTCTTAGAGTATGTAGGGGTGTCCATTTCTAACTATATAGACAATTGTAGAGCCTCCAATTATAAAACACTTAGAAATGCTGAATGAATTATACCATTCTTTTAAATGCTTGGCTTAGGTTACAAGAAACTGTGGGAAAGTATGAGAAAGACCCTAAAACTAAAAATGAGGATGTTTCAGAGGACATGAGTACATGGTTGTTCTGAGGAGCAAGCAGAGAGAATGTTCGCCCAGTAGTCCAAAGCATGGCGTATAAATATACACATGGAGACAGGAGATGCAGCCCCGGACCCATGCACGGCATGGAACTCAAAGTACCGTGTTTTCAGAACAAATATATAGCTTGCTGAAGAACCATGCCTCTAATCCAGACCTCACAGGATTTTCACAGATGAAGGCTCACTGGATAGAAACTATAATCTAAAATTCTAAAACACAGGCCACGGTGATCAAGACCACAAATAACATGACTGGATGCCTAAGAGTTTAAGAAATAAAACAGTAAGAATTAGAAGGAAAATAAAATTGCAAAGATGAAGGGAAAAAACAAAACTGCATTTGTTGAAATTAAAAACTCTAAACAGGTTCGGAAAAGCTAAGAGAGCATTGTCATAGTGGAAGATAGAGTGAGTATGAATCACAGGGAGATTAAGAGATGAAAAATATGAAGAGAGATGAAAAGGCATTGAGGGTGAGATGAAATGTTACCTAAAAGGAGTTCCCAGAAGGAAAATTTGGCGGGGGGGGGGGGGGGGGGGGGGAGGAAGAGGCCATATTGGAAGGTACAATGACTAAGTATTTTCCAGGATGTATGAAACATATAGGTCATCTGATTCAGAAAGTTCACAAAATCCTGAACAAGATAAATAAAAGTAAATCCACTCCTAACACACTGTAGTGAAACAGCAGAATATCAAAGACAAAGATGTTAGCAGTGAA